TTATTATTAAACATGCGTACACTCTGTAAATGTGTCTTTTTCATCAGTGTAGGACATGTTTTTTTAGTAGAATGTCTAATTTACTATATAAATAATTGAATGGAAAGTCGTAATGTCATGCTTCAAACTTTGAGGATTACATTTATTTGTGCTGGCTACAAGTAAAAAGTTCAAATAACATTTTTGTGGGCAAATATTAAAGCTAAAATAAAACAAATTCTACTTAATTTGCAACTTAAAAACAACCCAAGGGCTGCCCTATTAATGTTTAGCACTTTCCCTTCGTCTACTGATTTTTTTTTCTTTAGTTAGATCAGTACGTAGATAAAAATGTATCTTTATTCTTCACTTTTCCTTATTTGAGTTCAGAGAATTTGTATACCTTCAAAGTGAACAGGAATCTCGCGAGATTTGCGGAACACTGGCGGTGCTAACGAGAACGTTAGCTTTGTTGGTTTATTCTACCAACCTATCTGTCCGACTTCTGCCGCAAGGACTGAATCGATAAAAAAATACGCGTATGTTTAAAATGCGAGAGAACAGATAACAATGTAGTCGTCTGTCGGTCGTTTTAATTTTTAGATTTATGTTCTTTTAGCACGTGTGTGTTCTTTTGTGTTTAGCTTTAATATCTGTTCATCGCCGCACCCACCATATTTATTATTTTATTGAGGGCTACTAAGCTAGCGTCTTTTGGGAGCTAATCTTAGCTGTAAGTCGGACACAGGTTGTAATGAGATTTGAATAGGAGGAATTAAAAGCGTAGGCGGTGTTTTAAATTTTAAATTGCAGTTTTTAATGCACACTTGCTCCCAATTAACGCCACGCCTCAGCTTCTTGTGATCTGTTCGCGCATTGTAGTCATCATGACGGGTGAAAAGATTCGCACCACGCGGAARGATCACAAAAAAGCAAACAAGAATCAGGCGATATTGGACGCCTACGACGAGACCTCCAACGGGACGATCCCTAACGGTACGGGTAACCACTTTAAATCCAACAAGGCTTTCCATAAGTCGGTCAAACCCTCAGCCCTGCAAGAGCAGCTCAACGCAAACAACATCAATGGAAACACGTCAGTTGTCGCGGAAGATAGCAACAAAAACCCAATAATCCTGACGAGTGATGACCTGGAGTTCCCTGTTCATGAGTGCGTGTTCAAAGGAGACGTGCGTCGGCTTTCCTCTCTCATCAGGACCCACAGCATCTCCCAGAAAGATGTTCATGGTCAGCTTGTTTGCATTACACAGCTGCTTATTGTTTTTTCTCCTGTTCCACTAATTCATGTGTTTGTCTCTGTAGGGAATACACCTCTTCACCTGGCTGTGATGTTGGGCCACAAAGGTAAAGCTGAATTAAACAAAGTTAAGAAAATAAAAAGACAGCTTTTCAAAAAGCCAATCTGTCCATAGAACCCAGCAGATCAGTGCTGCATCTGTCATCAGTGTGTATTTAGTGTGGTTTTTTTTTAGTCTTCATATTTCTGCTGCAACTTCTATGACTTTAAACTTTGCAGAGCTAAAATAAAATAATATTGGTAGAATATAGCAAAGTCGAGATTATTCCACAAAGATTCCCGAACACCTAAACAAGAAGCATATTTTCATTTTTTTAAATTCATGATTAAATTGTGATTTAGAAAATTCTTGATAATTTTAGTTATTTGTTGCATTTTATTTTTCTCAGTTACATATTTTTATATTTTGTTGGTGTAAGACCTGTTAGTGATCATGTCTCATATCTCATGGTTATGTGT